ACGACGTAGTGTCGGCTTCATCGACTGCCGTCGAGGACCTCAGTTCTGGGCAATACATTCTACGTGAAGCTTACCAAGTTCTACGACAGAGACCACGCCTACCTCCCAAAGGAGGATATCCTTTCTCGAAGAATGATCACATTACAACGAAAATGGGGAAAATGCCCCCTTCTCCGTGCAAATGCTGTGGCAGCGCGAATCACTGGGATAAGGAATGTCCAGACTGGAATACTTACCTGGAGAGAGCGAAGCGTTCAGCCAATTCGGTAGAGATCTGGCCCGAGGACGAAGCTGATAAAGCTTACGCGTCAGCATATTCAGTCCTTCTGAACGAAAGGTTAACCGACCAGTCAACTAATCAACCAGTACCCCTCGAGTCTCCCATTCAGCAGGGTTTTGAACAGGCATCGTCCACTTCGCAGACCCCTGCGGAGGAGGCAAGTAAGACCAGCGTTGCGGAAGTGTACAAAGCTTCCAGACGGGCTTCTGTGGAAGAAGTGGAAGACGAGGATTACATAGCTCACCTAATTAAACCCAAGTCTCCAAAACATCTATTGGAAAAGATAGACGAGTTAGGATTCGAGGATAACGAAGATTCAGAGAAGGTAGAGCCGAACTTCAGATCCCCTCCACTTCATTCAGACGAGTTCGATTCGCTGGCGTCAGACCTGCAGACGGAGGAGGCTCCAACTAAGGAAGCTTACTCTTCGAACACGACAACAGGACCGCCCACAACCGACCATAAAGTTAAATTGAAAAAGAGGCGCTTTACGCCCGCAGGGTCTTCAGCCGTAGGAGTCTCTGTAGTCGCGGTCCAAGGCTGGGTTGGATCTCAGAGGAATGACCAAATCGACTTGAGATTAGACTCTTGTGCCGACGTCACGTTAATCTCACAAGAATACTTAGAGTCCCTTAAAGACCGCCCTGCATGTCAGAAGGGATTGAAAATGGACTTGTGGCAACTTACCGACAAAGACTCTAAAATCCAGGGCTACGTTCGGATCCCCATCTTTATGGAATCCTCGGAGGGAGTGATCATCGAGACAGAAGCTGAGGCTTATGTCGTCCCCGACATGACCATCCCCATCTTGTTAGGAGAGGATTACCATCTGAACTATGAACTCACCGTTGCTCACAGAATCGATTTCAAGTCAGTAGTTAATTTCTCCGGCGCGCCCTATTCCGTTCCCGCCAGGGGAGTAAGTCGAACCGGCGACTTCAGTTGAATGCAACAAAGCGCCAGCACCGTCGCTAGTTTCATTAAATCGAAGTTGCACAAGAGGAATAAGGCGAAGAAAGCCAGGGACAAGAAAAGATTTGGAATCGAAAAGAGAACCGTACGCGCCTCGGAAGATTGTCGCCTTCGTCCGGATGAGTGTCGGAGGATACGTGTCGATGGCCACTTCGAAGAAGACAGAACTTGGCTAGTTGAGAAAAATTTGTTAGCCTCCAACAATGATTCAGCTTTCATCGTTCCTAACGTACTGATCTCGGCATCTGATCCATGGATCCCCATCTCCAACCCTTCTCCACATCCGAGAATGATCAGGAAAGGAGACATAGTGGGTTACTTAGTTGACCCACAAGAATTTTTCGACACGCCAAGTTCTAAAGACGAATTCGAAAAGCTCGCCCGCTCCGCACAAGCTATTGCGGCCATCATATCGATTTCTTCGGAAACAACCCAAGGAGAAACTTCGCAGAAGTCAGAACCCTCGGAACACAACGAGGTCCCCGAGGATCCCACGATAAAAGTGACTCCCGCCGAAGAACCCGAGGCCTTCGGTCCGAAAACCGCAGAGTTGCCAGACTTGACGACATCACTAGTGCCTACCACTTTTATGATAAAACCTGGGCATTTGCCTGCACAGTCTTTTCAATCCCCCCAAGTGAAATATGAAATGAAATGCCTAGGCTATTTCATTCTTGCTTTGCAGCTATTTCATTCCTACCCACCACATTTTTCATTTCTCCTTGGCAATGAAATGCATTTCATTCTTTTGCCTGTGCTTTTTCATAACTTTTTCATTCTTTGCCAACTTTATTTCTTTTCTTTTCATTCTTTGCCAGTATCATTTCATTCTTTTGCCTGCGCTTTTTCATAATTTTTTTCATTCTTTGTCAGTCTTATTTCATTCATTTGCCTGTGCTTTTTCATAACTTATGTATTTGTTTGGTTATGATGGGATCAAAATATAAGACATGTGATCTTTTAGTTGCCTCAATTTACATGTTTATTGCTCAATTAAGTTAGATTATGGCCTCAAATACAAACAAATGTAAAGATCACAAGCCAGGGGTTGATTAGGTCAAACTATAGCTAATAATTTGAGAATACATATGTTTATTATTTACAAACAAATAATGTGTCTAGTTATGAAAAGGCTTAGAGAAGCAATGAAATGAGTTTCATTTTTTTTAAGTGCAACCCTAACCTTAAACATGGCAAACAATGAAATAATAAG